AGTCTGGTATATAAAAGAGGGTGACAACGTGATGGAATAATAATGTGTGTGTAGATAGTGAGTAATTGAACTGCAGTCACAGGGTATTGTTGAAGTTAACGTTCGTTCGTTATAGTGTTTGTTATAGCGCGAATGTTGAAAATAAGTGTATCGTAAAGTTGTATTCGGAAAGAATAAACCAGTTTTATTAAGTAAGGACTTGTGTCGCTAAAGTTTCGTCGGAATGAAGTTACGGAAAGTTAATTAACAAACGGAGACGTAACACTGTGTTTTCTCTCAGATGTAGAATGAGTCTGTTACTTTTACCCTGCCCAAATGTTTCAATTTCAAAATTGAATACACAAATTAAAAAATGTATTTTTTAATGATATATATAAACAGGCACAGATTTAGGGGAGGGGTCCAAGAAGGTTGAATTTGATTTCTAACAATGAAATTGAAAGAAATGTTCAACTAACTTGCTCATAATGTAGGTCTATAGTCAAAACTAGTTATTGTTTTTAAATATTTCATTGTTATTGTTTTTAGGATGATAAAGTTTATTAACTTTATATAATTTGTTTTAAAGTGTCACAAAGTAGTAATATGCTTATATTCATCAACAAAAATTCAGTAATTTTAGTACAACAGTTTTGTTAATATTTATAGGGAGGAACTTACAGTATACTATTAATTGTATTATTGTACCTAAAGACAGGACTATAACTAGTAATATGCTTATATTCATCAACAAAAATTCAGTAATTTTAGTTCAATAGTTTTGTTAATATTTATAGGGAGGAACTTACAGTATACTATTAATTGTATTATTGTACCTAAAGACAGGACTACTAACTTTTCACATATTTTTACCACAAATTTTTAAGGCAATTTTATATGTTTATTCTAAGTTTTAAACAATTTTAACTCATAAATATTTTAAAATCAATATTTTGTCATATATTGACTTAAATGTGTAATTTAAGAAAAAAATATTTTCATATCTGCACAGCTGTAAAGAGTTTTGCCTGTAAACAAAACAATCTACTTGTTGATTCTTTTTTTTAATTTCCCTACCCATCCCAAAGAATAACTTTTATTTTTACTACGAACCTATTATTTCTTGAGAATATATTATCCATTTCTTGATTTTGAAGCATTTCCCTTTATTTTTGTATAGGCCTTGGTTTAAACCCTAATATGATGCCACATCAAGTGGTTCGATCACTTTACTAATAAAACAAAGCTTTGAAAGCAATTATAAAGAAAGTTTAAATATGATTGGATAGAGTAAAATAGACTATTGCATACTAATAGAGTAAATATGTAGGTTTAAGGGTTTGTTTTATTTCTGTAAACGTTTTTTTTATTGTTGTTGTTGTGAATTGTGAAAGTATTTGTGTGTTAAGTTATATGTTTCAAAGTTGCAGAAATTGTCTTCAATTAGAAGACATTAAATAACATGAGATAATGTGGGTAAGTTTATATAGCTTAGGAGATGGGTTGAATGGGTAACAAAGAAAACTTTTAATAAAGATTAATACATTAACAAATGTAAAATGTTTGGAGAAGGTTTTGTTGTTATCAGGTTTAAGTATTTTATCTATATGGTACCAAGCAAAAAAGTCACACAGCTGGAGATTGCTTAAGGCTTTAATAAAGGCATTTTGTTGATGTTTTTTTATGTATTGTGTTTTTATTTTTTAATAAATATACTATGGTTTTATTGTGTTGCAATATTTGTAAACATGAGCTGTTTTTATTATGTTCATCAACTAGAATTGTCATCAAGTTAATTTTATTTCTTAGCCAGTATGGTAACAATTGGAAAATATCATGGTGACTCAGATCTTTAATGAATATTGTTTTTGTGTTTATTCTATTCAAACAATGTACATAAATAGTTTAACTGGCTACTTAATTATTTGTAATTAGCATAAAATATCCACACTCTGTTGCAGGATTCTAAGGTCCCCCTCATTATTCACAGAGGCTTCAATGTACCAATCAAGTGTCTCCATTATCTTAATTACTTCTATAGCTACCCCAATATGCCAATTTTTTAATTGATTTGTGCATTGCCATTTCCCAAACTTAGTTTTAATTTGGCTTCTCAGAGTCGTTTTTTTTCTTCCCATAATTTTGTGTCAATTCTTTTCAATCTCTGAATTCTCAGATTCACATTTTATAAATTCTCAGATTTGTATTTTTCTTCCCATGTTTGTGTTGAAAAAGAGTATCTGGCAGAAAACCTCCACATATTGTTCAATCAGTAAGTGAGAATTAGAAAAAATATAATACTTTTCTATAGACCTTCAGAAAGCAGAATTATGGGGTTAAGGGACAAAATATTGACCAAAATGTATTTGAGCCAAATATAAAAAATAATACCCAGGTGCACACCCTCAGAATCTCCTTAGTATGTGTTCAAAGTTTTAGGTTTCTAGGTTCTTTCCTCTTGGAGTTATGGCACACACACACAGACAGGCTGTATTATTGTTATAGATTGTAATCATGACATGCTTGAATAAAAACATAATTACCTCTTATTGTCAGAGTAAAACATGTTTTCATTATTATCAATTTATCTGATTTACAGAAGATCTGTGTAGGATTACTGCATATTTGAAAAACAAACAATGACAGTTACTTGGTGGTATTTAGTCAACATTTGAAATTTATTTGCCAAATAGGAAATATCCATAAAACTTATGGGAACATTTTTTTGACAAAAAAAAGTATTTGCAAATGCCCAAATTGCAACATTCAGAAGAAGTCTATCATATGAAATCAAAGGTAATTTGAAAATTGCTTAAAAACAAAAAGACAGAAATGTTCTCAAATAATGAGCCTGTTGATTAATGAGTTAGGAAATACAACTAATTGTCTAGCTCTATATACTGATATAAGTAATTTTACAAGAATACAGAATGAAAATATAGGTTTATTAAATTTTACAAATGCATCATTATCAGTTTATCTGTACACATACTATATGTGTAAATGATATGTGATCCAACAGAAGTGTTTTGGACATTAGCCATAACAACTGAAACTTTACTTACCACAATGTATTGGCTTTTATAATACGGATAGAAATACTTGGTGAAATATGGATGAGAAGTAGAAGATGTGTTTCTTACAAATTATCAATTCCATGATTTCCATACATTGTTTGCCATTTACATATTTCCAACATTTCTGTTTTGTTAATAATAATAATAATAAATTCTTGTATTAGTAACTATTTTAAGTTAATCTTTATCTGTGATATAAAAAGTTTCTGTGTTTGCATATATAATTGTTTTTAATTAAAGATCTGGGCAGAGTATTAGTCCCTTTACAGACAAAAGTTACATCCCAAATAAAATTATTTACTATGTATAGAAAGTAAAAATGTATCTGTGAAAATAACAGAACACCCTTAGTTAGAGAAAAGTAAAGCAGTGGGAAAATTGCTGATAATAATGTTTTCTTCTTAGGAATATTCACAGCAAATTACAGCAGAATCTAAAGCTGTGAAAGACTTGGACAAATTTGACATGCTTCTTCAAGCATTTGAATATGAAAAGCTCTTACAATCTCCAAAAAAATTGCAAACTTTTTTTGATAACAACAAAGGTAATTTATTTTAATTATTATGTATTTGTAAAGTGAAATAAAACACTGTTCTCAAATAATTTGTAAATTAAAACATATAATTAATTTTTGTGTATATTCCTTTGCTGCAATTGTGTCCTAATGTGGTGTAGAATCAACCTTGTCCTGTGTAACCACTGTTATCCTTCAGTGCATGTTGTGAATTATGTTTCTCACAGGTGTAGTTTGTATCTATTGTTGTTTCAAAAGCTCATGTAGTAGTTGATGATTGGAATGACTTAATATCGTCTATTGAGTTGATCCTTTGTGGTAATGTAAAATGTTTTTTACGGAATTCACATCTGTACTCTGAGTAGGTCATTTTAAGGTATTAGGAATTTCACCAATCTGCTTAAAATGTATCAGTTTAATATATATATATATATATTTGAATTCATGAGTATTTATATATTCAAGCTCTTTACAAATTCATCCAACATTTCAGATAACAGTTTAAATCATAATGTCTTACTACAATTATGTGTGCTTTTCAAAACACACAGATCTTGTTTGCAGATCATAACGTTGTTTTAAGATTGGGGATTTAAAATTCCCATAATGGGAACATCCCTTGTATTTAATGGTATTGGAAAACATAGGAATATAGATCAGCTTTGGGTACCAGGACCATCCAAACAGAGATCTACAACAAATTTTTACCCCAACATCTAAACAAAATGTAGTGTCTTGTAACAGGTGAGAAACCATGAACACAAGACTAGTAGCAAAAGTTGTCCACATGTCCCAAGCAATAGTATGAAATATAATCAAGAAGGATCTCCATCTGGAAGAGCACCACTAGGCATGTATACACAAGATGTTTCCATGATATATCCTTTCAACAGCTGCAGACTTCAAGGAACTAAAGAATGAAATAGGTATTAATGCTATTTCATACAAAAACATACTGGTCAAGTCACCTGATGCAACACCTGTGAATTTCTCTGTAATCATACTATTAAAATGGGTGCATGAAAACCACTGCTCTTGGAAATCCTGCAGGTAGGAGTGGTGTGCTTAGGATGTGGCAGCCTTACAATGGAGCTTTTCTCAGTGGCAACTACCTTGGAGAGCTATTCTCTAGATGTACATTTGTAAGATAGAGCATGACCAGAAATGGCAACATGGATTGTAACAACAGGATGAGCCTCTGAAATTATTTTAATATTCTCAACCTCTGTACAAAATATACTGCAACATTAGGAATAATAAAGGTCAAAGCAAAATGTTTATATCTCATAACAGTGTGCAAGTACATACAATTCATATTAAAATATTTTTTTAATTATTATGAAATTAGTTAAAACGAAAAAAAATGCAAATAATTAAAAAAATAACTTTGTAACAGGATCAGAATGTGCAAAAATTAATAAGAGTTGGTCAAAATTGTAGGAAAAACTTTTGTAATTCTTAATTATTTAAATAAAAGTTGAAGCAAAGGAATTATTTAAGGTTTTTTATATCAGTCATATGATTCATTAATTACGATATGTGGGGTGATTATAAGGAAAGTTTTGCAGTTCAGAACATCATATCTCATAAATGGTATGGTATAGGAAGTTACAGAGGTGTGTTAAAGGTATAATGAGATGCAGATGTCACAGTTGTTACCTGATGCCAACAGGGGCACCACTATGATTTCTTTTACATATTTCTCGTGGGTATAAATGGGCTTTTTGATCAAAGTGCAGCTCATTCAACCAACATGAAATTGACAAGTATGTAAAGAGGTGAACTATTGAAATGTTTTTATACCAAAGGATGCAATTCTGAGGCAGCTATTAGAGAATACCATAGGGTGCATAACAATTACGTAGGGCCGTGTTTTAGTGTTACTGTACACAAATATTTTGAAAATATATCAGGAAACAGATTGTATTTGCAATAAGCCACATATAGGCAGACCACTGACATCTACTGAAACTATTGTTGAGATTATCCATAACATAGCAGGACAAGCTAGCTTAGGTATGCATAGGTGCAGTATTGCATTTTATTTCACCTGGTATCTGATTTTGCCATTTTCAAATGTTTGTAAGGCTCTTCAGACAACTTTGTGAATATTTCCTTAAAGCTTGGGTAATGTTTAAGCACTGCAGTTTTTGGCAGGTCTGGAAGTGGATAACACTAGCCTGCCAATATCTTATGGATTGTTGAAGCACACTTCATCCTTTTTGGAAGGGTCAACACATCTAACTGCATTATCTGGTCAGAAACTAATCCACTTGTAACACTTTCTACACACCTCCATAATGTTAAGGTGATAGTATGGTGTGGTTTCACAGCTGATGTTTTTATTGGGATGTACTTTTTTGAAGAACTACCAGCATATGGACTGCAAACCTGCACAATCAATGCTGCATGCTAACATGCAGTGTTTAAAACCAACCAATGTAATTTTCATGCTGTAACAAGATAATGTAATAGACATTATGATTTTTCATGCAGGATGGTGTACCTCTGCATAATAGTAATCAGGTGAAACAAGTCTTGTTGGAAGACTTTCAGAACAGAATCATTTCACTTCACTTTTTTTTTATAAATGGTCACTTTATTTACCACAGTTAGTAAGAGCTGATTTTTGGTGTTGGGGTACCTGAAGTTATATGTGTACTATTGAGTATATACAAGCTGAGTCTTTGACTGAGGAACAATTCATCCCAGAGAAGAAGCTAACTGAGAGGTCAGTTCAGTTCAAGACAATCACTGATAACAGTCAGTATTAAATGTGTGTAGAGAGCAGCTAATTGTGACTACACATTAAAAGACGAGA